TTATTATTAGACATTTAGGCTGCTGACAGCTTACCTGTGTAAAGACCTGTGTAAAAATCTGTGTCACAATGAACATTTTCGAGCATACAAAAAAGCAATAACTTTCAAAAAGACCTTTGCTTTTTCTACCATTTTTTTCTTTTCCAATACCTTACAGCATCTGTCTGTTTTATGCTATCTATAACTTTGTATTTTGTGTGTGAAATTCTAGTATCTGGTTTTATTTTTAGCTGCTCTACCATGTGCCGAACTCAATCTCTCACCCTGTGGTCTCTGTGTCACCTCCACCCACCTCCTCAAAGCCTGCAATGCTACAGTTGCTCTAAAGTTCTTATGACTCAAGGATTCATGTGAGGTACAAGATTTGTCCTCAGGGGTGCCCTTGACCTCCCAAAATTGCATGCAAAATTGGATGTGTGCACTTTCCAGTAAGAGGCTATAGATCATGTATCAGATTCTCAAGTGGTTCAGGTGACCAAAAAAAGATTAAGAATCACTGACTGTCTAGGACTCTTTTTAGCATCATTTATCTCTTTCCTTCCACTGGGCTGTTGCCTCTGCTTATTCAGATTCTAGCCTAAAATCGCTTCTCTTTTAATCTTTAAATTGCCATCCTACTTGTACCTCCTGCCTTCCTGTCACTGTCAACTTTCTTGAATGAATACTTATACCTGCTGTGTTCACTTCTTTACCTTCTGTTTACACCCCAACTCCTGGATCTCACCTACCTGTTCTGCTGAAGTTGCTCTTTTGAAGATGATATACGCCTACTCCTCATGTGGTCTTCACCTTCTGACTTCTCTTTAGTGTGCAAGATTGTTGCCCTTGATCTTAACTTTAGCTTTTTCCTCCTGGGCAACTGAACTACTGCCTCCTCTTGGGCCTTCCTCTCCTTTGGCGTTTCTTCTTTTTTTTTTTTTTGGACGGAGTTTTCGCTCTTGTTACCCAGGCTGGAGTGCAATGGCGCGATCTCGGCTCACCGCAACCTCCGCCTCCTGGGTTCAGGCAATTCTCCTGCCTCAGCCTCCTGAGTAGCTGGGATTACAGGCACGCGCCACCATGCCCAGCTAATTTTTTGTAGTTTTTAGTAGAGACGGGGTTTCACCGTGTCGACCAGGATGGTCTCGATCTCTTGACCTCGTGATCCACCCGCCTCGGCCTCCCAAAGTGCTGGGATTACAGGCGTGAGCCACCACGCCCGGCCTGGCGTTTCTTCTCTTAACTGTTTGCCCCTCTTTCCTCTGCTGCCAGATAGAGTTCTCTACAATTTCTTGTCATCAGGTCCCTTTTCTGTCTATATTTTTCTCTTGGGACATCTCATCCAGACCCACATACATGAAGCTCCTGACTCTCTCCTGAAACCCAGGTCCATATTTATAAGTACCATCTCCACTGGGATACCTGAAAGTACCTCCAACGTGTCCAAAGCCAAATTCATCATCTTGCCTGCAGCTGCTCTTGACTTGCATATTTCCCTGACCAGAACCACCATGCTCTGTCAGTCAGGCACAAAAGCTTTGATAGCTTTCAGTCTTCTCATTGTATCCTAGGCAGAGGCTTAGTGCTGTTCTTCCCACAGTACCTCTCCAGCTGCTGCCACTGTTGTTTAGCCTCTTTTTACCTGGCACCAGGCCTGTGGCAGTGGGCTTCCATCTTTCCTTGCTTCACTTCTCATTCTCCCTTCACCACCATCAAACACTCCCAGCTTTACTCGTCTAAAGCATGTGCCTGTTGCTTCAATGCTGTCCTCACTGTCCTTTTGAACATGCAATATCCACCCAATTACCTCAAAATTCAAAGCCCTTCAAGTTCTTCAAAGCCCTTCATCCGCAATACTTCCCAAAATACATCCTGTTTATTCATATTAACCTAAGTAAGGCTTTAGTATTTATAACTAGAATATAGGGGTATACAAATATTTAAGTTTATGGGGGATGCTTTTTAAAGCAAAACCCCAATATCATAGTTATTTATCCAATTTGTTATCTTTTCTAAATCTTACCTCCCTTTGAAGGTTTAGGTTTCAATTTATTACAATTTGACAAAAGTATTTTGAGCAGCTTAGCAGCTGAGGAGAAAGATGCCCCATCATTAACACTTTTAAGATTGAACAAGAAACACTAGCATCTGTGGAAGATGCAAAGGCTTTCTCCCAGCCCCTGCTTATACTTTGTATGGGTCAGAGCCACTACAGGAAACAAAAATCCACCCAAAAGGTGTTTGAGGAAGTTTAACGAAGGGAAAATTTCCGAACATGTGGAAAAGATTAATGGAAACTGACCAGAAACAGTGGGAGGGAGCAGTTAGAATTCAGTAAGAGGAGTATCTTCAGGACATTCTGTCAGGAACAAGGTTGCTGCCAAACCACAGCCTGGTGGGCAGACAGCTGGAGAAATACATGTTCCAAGTTCTCTGTCCTCCTATTCTTTGATCTCTGATGGATGCCCCTTGTTGGACAAACCCAACCAAAATCTTAAGAGCTGGAGAGCTTAGATAGTGCATCTAAGGAGGCTGGCTTCCTGGGGGCACAGAAGGGAGAGTGGAGGAGGATGAAAAGTGGCTCTAGGGAAGGAAATGGGGAACATCTAGAACTTTGTGTCACTTCTGGTGCTTTAAGGCCTTTCTCCAGGGAGACAAAAAGTTTGTGTTGACTAAAGCTCCTGGTTGCTCAGGAGCCAAGGGCCACATAACGTGCCAATTGGGATTTTTGCCTCTGAAAGCCTCTGAGGCATAATTACTGCAATGAAATACCCTTTCTGTCTCTCTCCTCTGCCCATCCCCATGCCAGGAAGCCTTCCTCTCTTCGCTTCTCATCTCTCTGCCGCTTCCCTTTCATGTTGCCAGATTTCAGTAAAATAACCAGGCATATAATAAACGCTTACAGACCAAATTAAATAAGACACGATACTTTTTCTTAACAATTTGCAGTACAGCTTATAATTTAAATTAAGTTACACCACTTGAGCAATAAAAAATTTATAATGAGAAAGCCAACTTAATTTTGGAAGAAAATGACAGAGAAGTGACTGGTATGTTTCCTTTGGTAGAACACTGGGAGTAGAATACCTAGCAATTCTCTTCTGAGGCTCCAACCTGAAACCCTACAAAAGGAAGGACTTTGTGGAGGAACTATTGTTGGCTGCCTCCTTCTCCTTGGCACTCATCTGTACATTCTCCTCTTCTTATTCCTGGCTCCAGACTGCTCTCCTCACTCACACCTCCCACAGGTCTATCAGTTGACACTGCAGGGCATGGGAAGCTGTGGCTGGGGTGTTTTTGATGACAGACACTGAAGTGGTACTCCCAGTGGGGGAAGGTCAGCAGGCTGAGACAGGAGGGGAGAACAAAGCAGGACACAAGGACATCTGAAAGTCAGGATGTGGAGCCGGGAACCCTTTGGGTTGGAGTTCAGTTCCTGATTTTTGTTGGGGCAGATTCTTTGCAGCACAACTTGAAGGGCAAAGCAAGCCCCTGAAGGTTGAATTACAGAGTTGTTCAAGAGCATGGGATCTACAAAATCTAAACCAGACTGAAATCAATGGAGCTTTCCCTTGAAAACCTATAAATAGTTTCCTGAAATCACTTTTTTTTTGCCTAAGATCTTGGGAAACTATTTCCCATAGGTCTCCTTTATGACATTGCTTGCTTCCATACTACCATTTGGGTATGCTCAGAGCAGCAATAAGCCCGCAGGACAGCTAGAGTTAGATGTGTACCCTCAGTGAACAGAACGTGCTTGTTACCTTCTGTATGTGACAGTGTGAATGTAGGAAGGCTTGCTGGCTGTGCATTAGAGAATCTTAGACTTTAAAGAGGTGAACAGACTCTAAAATTAGCTCCTGTAAGTGTTCAGAGATAAATGCACAATATCCCAAGTTTAGGCACGACATAGGTAGACCTCCCTGAGATTAGCGCAGAGGACACTTCCCTAGTTAAGGAGAGGCAGGTTTAGTTAATGGCCATTTATCTCATTCCTTTGAGACCCCTTTTAGTCCTTTGAGTACCACATCCCTGGTTCCAGGAATATATTGGTCCTTTCTACTCTCTTGGGTCCAAAGCTAGACTAAAAACTCAAATTCATTTTCTTTTCTTTTTTCACATGACTGAGCCAGTCAGGGAGCTGAACAGGGCTGAGCTTCATTAGTACACTTCTGTAAGATGAGAAAGAAATGCTGTACAAGTTGTATCTCTTTTGTTTACATCCACATTGCTTTCTAAAGGGTTCTAGCACATCTGTCTTTTGCCATCTGCAGATTGTTTCTGGAAGTCATATTCGACCCAACCTAGGAGGATTTTGTATATTAAGTCAATGAAAGCCAGTTGTTCCAGTACAGATGGACTCACAACCTTGACCTACCTAGGCATTTTAAAAAGACTCAGCCTACCCAGTCAAATATACATCAGGGGTTTGTAAATCCCAAGGGCACACAAATTACATACAGGGGATGATCCTCGATCTACCCACTGAGTCTAAACACCCATTCTACTTCTCAACCTGGACCTCAGCCTGGTCCTCCAGTCTTTGGAACTCATCTTTTTATTGCCGTATGGCTTACTCTTGGTACCAATCACTGGGTATGACATTGGTGTTTGTGGTCTGGTCACATGAACACAACCATGGTATCTTCCTTGGCTCAGTGGAACTTACTTGCATGGCTTACTTTCTTCCAATTTTTCTCACCAGGTGATGAAATCTGACAGGCTATACTGCTTCATGCCTCACATAGTTACTGAAGAAGTGGGAAGCATTAGGAGGGTTCTCCAGACCACCAGAGGTTGAGTGGCAAATATTTCCTGATATGATGCTGAAAACTATACTTACTAAAGAAAACAGAAGTGCGAACACATTTCAAAAACATGATACCATACAACCTTTCAACAAGGAGACTTAACAAAGCTGACTGAAGGTTTTGATAAGCTTTTGTCTCCTTATCCCCCAAACCCAGTGGCACTCCTCATCTCTTGCTTCCTGAATAAGAACAAACATGAAAACAACTTACTGTAAACTGGATTTGGCAGCCACCCATGATGTAGTCCAAGAAAGAGTGCATCTTGTGGATCTGCATAGGAGGGGAGAGGAAACTGGGTTAATAACAGCACAGTCTATTTCCTGATATATCAGAGGCCTAATGGTTGGTGACTGATAGGCTGCTAAACCAGAGGAAAGGGCAGACAGGCATAGTCAGAAAATGACGGGTCAGTTAAGTTTGTTCTGTTAAAGGGGGGAAGGAAAACAATATCAATACAGATGAGCCTATGAGAGCTGCCAATATCTATCCCTTGCTCCCCTCTATTACAGTTTATGCAAATTTTAATCAGCTTCTGCCTCTGAGATGAGACTAAAACTATATTTTCAAGTGTCACTACTGTTTTGAAATCAATAATGTCTCAAACTTGACTTCAGTCTTGCCTCCCTGTGTCTAAGTCCCAGTCCTGGTGACATCTTTAATATGCAGGTGATTTTGATAGGCAGTTTTAAGAAACCATTAGCTGAGAAGGTAATCTACTCACAATTTCCAATTAGTTAAACCCTTCGCCTGCCATGAACAACGACTAACATTTATTGGGCTTTACTGAATGTCACGTACTTAGCATCTTTCACCTCATTTAATTCTCAGAACAACCCTATGAAGGTGGTACAACTATTATTATTGTATCCTCTTTATAGATGAGGAGATTAAGGTCAAGATCACAATGCTAATAAATGATAGAGTTGAGACTGAAATGATGCAAGTCTGGGTTACATGCTCTATCTTTTTGACCTCTATGCCGGAAGTCAGTATGGTTGTTGCGTTATACCAACTGCCATCATCTGTGTTCTCGAGTACCTTAGGGATTTCTGGTCTTAGTTCACATTTTTTTGTGATTTTGCTGCTTGGCTTGGCTCTTGGTGATATTCATGCATTTGTTGATTCAACAATTATTTATTGAACACTCACTATGTACTAGAATCTAGGAATAGAGTAATTAGAGAAACAGATACAGTGCTTGCAGTCATGGAGCTTACAGTCTGGATCCTTATACTTGGACGGCCAGTAACTGTAATTTTTGACTCTTACTTCTCAGATTCCATCTAATGCTCAGGAAGCTTCTTTTTTTGGG